GTACAGAGAGGCACGTGCCCCACTTTTCGGCGCCTAGGACAGTTAGGATGCTTCCTTAGCTTTACACGCACATACACAGTCCCACTGAAATAAAGGGTCTGCTTCCTCTCCATCAAATGCCATTTGACAACAGCTGGGCGATTCTGCTGGCTTTTTTACAGCGGAAGTTGGATAAATTATTGTACCCTCACTGCATCACTGCACAAGAGAAAGCTTTCTGACAGCAGCTTACTGCAATTTTTAAACCACCACCAAGTGAAAACCTCCTTTGCCAAAGCTCTCCTTTCAATCCCAGGTTCGTTAAACACATAGAGCGCTCGCTGTCACATGCGGAGAGGTTTATCTAACTGCAGAATCTGGAAACTGCCCAGTTTTCAAAATTAATACTTGCTTATGTTGAGTGTTTGTTGATGTGAGCATTCAAAATAAAACGGCAGGCCAACTGTAAACAGAACCCACCCTTTTTCTGATACCTCTGGAAAGGAAGCAAAGAGAGGGAACCGTATTTTTTCTTTTCTTTCAGAAAGGTGCACTTTATTAGGTTGCGTACAATTGTATCCCGACCGTCCTGACATTTTTCCTTTAACTCTCCCCAGCACTGAAGAAGATCCCTCTTCTTCAGCACTGAAATAAAATTTGCATTCCCATTTTTCCCAACTGAAGGCAGTTCCCCAGGCGCCAAGCAAGCAGACTGTTACTTCTTCCTCTTCATCACTCTGCAGACACCTGGAGAAGGCACCAGAGAGACACCCGCGGAAGGTCCACCTCCACAATCTTAGTAGGGTCTCGGTGCAAGAGTCCTCTTCTTTTGAGCTCTTAGCTTCAAGGGTGCTGTCCTTTTTATGAGTATGGCTTCTCTCCCCTGGATCATGAGATGGGAAAACAATTACAATTTTTCTCTAGCGCTTGTGGAAAGTTAATGTGCAGTCGATTGCTTTCCCACACAGACATAGAATGAAGTATGTTGTTTCTTGAAAGAGGGCTTCTATTTCAGTCTTCTCTTTTTAAGCGGGCAGGGTGGAGAAAGGATGTTTTTCAGCCAAACTGCACAGTCCCTACTCAGCTACAAATTTCCGCTTCACAAAAATTAATTCATTTAGGGCTTCAGTGAAGCGTATAAAGCTAAGGAGGCTAAATTCAGGACCCTGGTAATATTTGTAGTTAGTAAATATCAAGTTAAAATAGTCAGGGGAAGGTCTGTTTCTGCTATTGTGCTACGCTACCCGTATGTTAGCTATAAACAGAAATTCAGAAGAAACAGGGTGACAGTCTAAACAGTCATAAAATGATAGCCCTTTTGTGCTCAGAGCAGGAGTTGAATGTGTTTCGCTACTTGGCTACGCTGCTCGGGTACAGCAGCAGCGAGAATATAAAATTCCTGTTCTGCTTGTTTAGCTACCATGAAGAAGCAAGGTTGCCTACAAAGCTTTCCAAGAAACAAAAACAAACCTAAAGCCTGCGTCTAAGCATACACAAACAGTGTGTAACGATTGTGAAGCTACACTCCTACAAAGCATGTTAAACTAACTACATTAAAACAGACAAAAACTTCCTGGAGATCGTTTCCACCGTGGATGCTGCTCATTGCAAGCACGTAAAACACAGTGGCTGACATATTTGGAGCATAAAAAACACCTCATTTGCAAACTTTGTTTTCTGTGCCCTTTGTTGCTAGAACATAGTCCTACGGGTTAGAGGTAAAAAGGTCCTGTCAGTCAACCAACAATTTGTTCTTAAGTCAATAAAAGTAATTCAAACTTTCTTCCACAGATTCGAAAGAAAAAGCTAGAATAAAACTTGTGCTCTCGTCTCAGGTTTGGTGCCTGAAAATAGGGCTTTCATTATTTCTTATGTAAGACTACATAACAAGCTATATAAAACACAAATACAATTTCTTTCTTTAGAGGAGTCTGGCTTTGTCTAATAGTGAGTCAGCATCATCTGACAGATCAATTTGCTGTTAAGTGTAGGATGTGGATTTTGCATATCACGCTCTCCAAGGGCAGCCGTTGGAAACTTGGGTCACTACAGCATGGAATTTCACACCGCACGTAAGGTCAACTCAACGGCCTCCCAGTGCAGAGACCTGCCTCACAAAATCTCATCAGTAAGAATGGGACTGATACCAGATACCTCAAGTTTTCTGTCCTCCAGATCTGCCTCTCTCGAAAGGGGACAACAACATTCCTTAATACTTGCTTGGTTCTTTCTGAAACCGTTAATGTGTCTAGTATCCATAGGATCATTCAGGTCGGAAGGGACCTCTCAGGAGGCATCTAGTCCAACCTCCTGCTCAAAGGTGGGTCAGCCATGAGGTCAGATGAGGTTGCTCAGAGCTTTATCCAGTCAGGTCTTGAAAAACCTCCCAGGATTTCCAGCTTCTCTGGGGACCACGTTCCAAAACTTAACTGTCCTAATGATGAAAAAGCTTTCCATTGTGACCAGTCTGAACCTCTGTTGTTTCAATTTATGTCCACTGTCCGTCATTCTTCCGCCACGCACCACTGTGAAGAGCCCGGCCCTGTCTTCTCCATAACCTCCCTGTAGGTATGGGCACCCTGTTAGGTGTCCCCAAAGCCGTCTCTTCTCCCAGCCTAGCTCCCTCAGCCTCTCCTCATGGGGGAGGTGCTCCGGCCCATGCCATTGTGGTGGCCTTCTGCTGAACATCTAGTTTATCAGCATCTTTCTGGTGTTGAGGGCCCAAAACTGCACAGAGTGTTCCAGATGCAGTCTAACACGTGCTGAGCAGATGGAAGTAATCGCCTCCCTCGATCTACTGGCTGCACTCCCTCTAACACAGCCCAGGATGCTGTTGGCCTTTTTTATTGCCAGGGCCAGCTCCCGGCACATTTTCAGCTTGCTGTCTGCCGAGACCCCTAGGTCCATTTGAGCAGAGCTGCTCCCCAGCCAGGCAGACACTGGCCTGTATTATTGCAAACTCCCAACATCTCTTGGTATCAATTCTGCGGGGATGGCCAGGACATGGGGATGGCCTCCCCATGCCACACACAGCAGAAGCTCCCAGGTCTCCAAAGATCATCCACAATAGTAAGCTAAGGATTAAAAGCTAAAATATTGTTAATCCACTTTTTCCAGTACCTTTAAAAACAAGTGTATGAATTCCTCCACATTCTTGTATCTGAAAATGCAAACAGCTGCTGCGAGGTGTTCCTTTCCTCCGAGCATGGTTGTTTATAGTAAAGACTACTAGGCTTTGATCAGCCGCTCACATTTACCGAATTGATTCCAACCTCTTTGCCAGTGGGCTGTATGGATTCTCAGCGTGAAATGCTCCTGCTTGTTTGAAGTGGTTGAGATTGTTTTTCAATGGAATTTTCCATCATGCTCTGTGCTATCTTTCTTCAAAGCACAATTTGTTCACTGGGCAGTACTCCTTGTCCAACATAATATGCAGAACCATTTTATATCTTGCTCAATGCTTTTGTTTTGTTCCCATGATGCTTCCCCTCCTTTTATTCTCTTGTCTCAACCAGTTTCCCTTTACAGCTCTCCCGCATGTAACCCCATATGTTTGTTAGCAGCTGATATGTAGGGTTTTTTCTCCCCCACCCTCCCTCTCTTCAGTATTAGAAGTTTGGAGGCAGTCAAGACTTCTCAGGGAGGATACAATGCCTTTTTCTAAAGGCATTTGCCTCTCCCCTCTCTTTTTTTTTTTGTACTGAAAGTTGGGGTGCTAAATGGTACAGACGCAGTAATCCTGCATGCCCTACAATTCTTGCATGAGTACCCCCGTAAGGAGATCACTACCACTACATGTTGTTTTTTAAACAGGGATCTTTAAGCCCCAACAGCAGGGGCTGGACAAATCAGCACACCTATGAGAGAGAGGAAAGGAATCCACATCTCCAAGCCCCAGTCTAATGCTCTGTCCATTAGAAAGCTGTAGCGAATCGGTGTTTTTCCCCCTTCTTCGCGTCAGAGCCCAACAAAAGATATACAACCTTACGGACTAAGCTGCAAACTGTAAAAGAACAGATAGAGATTTACAACAGCTAGTCCAGCAACACAACATACAAGAACTCTGGGGGTCATGCATCTTCCAGCACTGCTCACTGACTGAAACATTACGTTATTTCTCAAGGAAAAAAGAGCAATTTTGGCTCTCTTGCTTTATTGTGTTACTGGTTTTTAACTGTATCGCAAACTGCATCTATTAAATTGGCAACATTCACTAAACTAGAGACAGGTAGAGTACTGAAAAACCACACAGACTTACTAGGGAGCTTATACCTCTGCTTAAGGTTTACTTCTAGGTGTGATTAACTGTTTGATACCAATACACGCTTTAACATAAAGTGGGCTAGCATATTCAAATAAACAGCAACTAAAAGAAATAGCTCCTACGGTTAGGCAACATCAGGCTGCAGAAATACAGCGGTTTTCAAGTATGAAAAATAGAAAGATATGAAGTTAAAAGAATTGTATCGTTACTGAAGAGTACACCATCTCCCACAGCAAGTTTCCAAGTTAACATGTGCATCGCCTCAAACTTGTTAAGCTGTATCAGGGAATCTGCTATGAAGATCTAACCCCTTTTCCAGCAACATACAAATCTGAAATTAAGACATCTCAATATAATAAAAAAAAAAAATCCACAAGCAAAGCTCAAACATTTCACTCAAGTTTTCTAAGTCCACTAGTTTAAAAAGCAAACAAACAAACAACAACAACAAAAAATCCACCCTACCCCCCAACCATCTTGAGATGCACTGGATGCAGTTTTTCTAGAAAAAAACAAAACCAAAACCAGGCCCCATAACTGACTTCAAATGAAAATCTGGCCCCTCAAGCCTCCCAGGACATGGGTGTATTTACATGGCTTAGTAAATCGCCACAGCCCAGTTACTCTTAACAAAGATCGCGTTACAGAACTAGGGCTGTGCTGGAGCCTGTTCACCTCCCCAGCCGTTTTTTCCTTCTGTGGAATCTGGATAGCACAAGAGCCTCACAACAGCAGACTAAATTTATGACTACAGATATGCAGATTTGACAAAATAGTATTAAATATTTATTTAAATACCAGTCTGACTAAATACTTCAGTTTTAGTATTTGTTACAGGTAGGAACAGCTTTGTATTTTTTAATCCTCAAAACAGGCTGTATACAAGATGTATCCTGCGCCACGTTATACTCTTCCTTTCACCAGTGCAGTCTGAGTGGCTGCACCTAATTCCTTACGGATCAGCATGCTAAAGACGTATTTGAATTGCTCTTACCCGTCTATGTGCAATAGCAACACCTGTAACTTGCAAGTCAGTGACAGCATGTCCAATATATAGAAGTAGGGAGTTTTGATCAGGAAACAGCAGATATCATGTGGCAATAAAGAGCATCCTACAATAATGCAAGGCTGCTAACTCAAAAACACGGAAAATGACTAGCAGTTCAACTCCCAGCTCACGCCTTGAACCCTACGTTATCTGGTGGGTTTTTCTCAAATTTAAAAAGAGATGCTGGTATTTCCAGAATCCTAAGGCAAGGGGCGAAAATTTATTCAGCGTGTGAAGATACAAACAAAAAACTCTCTAGAGCATGTTGAGGACGACAGGCCTCTTGCTGCTTATGATCACAGCATTCACGTGGCAGCCGCTGCTTACACTGAAAAGCCACATTACGTAATGAGTTATTTTCAGTTTCCTCATTGCTAATTTCTTCCCAGTCATCCAATGCTTCCTCATTACTGCCTGCTTTAGAAGCATTCACCAGTTGCCACGAGAATGTGGAGTATCAGCAGAAGCAGAGGAACGGCACGAGCAAGTAAGAGTAAGCGTGTCAGTGGCAATAACGGAGCCAAAGACCCATTTGTGAATTACAAACAATAATAAATGCCAATATCAGATACCTGCAAATTATTTTTTTTTTTTAAATGAGATGCCAATGGCAAGAACACTTACTCTGCAAACATTAGAGTTTACTTATCCTTTTACTTGCTCTGTAAAGGGTGGTAAACCAGCCAAGTAGTAATACAAGTGTTTAATTACCATTGCTGTTAATTAAAACAGATGGCCACCACTGTATTCACATCGTTGTCTAGCACTGTCTCTGCGGAACTCTGGCAAATTCAAGCGTGTCTGTGTTTGAGCCTTACAAAAAAATACACTGAGAACATAAAAGTTTGAAAGTAGGAATGAGCAGATTCCACAAATACTCAATATATTTTTCTTCTGAATTCCCTTTAGGTACTAAGGCCCGTGTAACGAAGATAACAAATCAGATTGAAGTCAGACATATTTATGAACAGAAAAGAAAGCTCAGAAATTAATATTCTAAGTCAAGGAAACATACACCAATACACGTAATTCTAGAACAGAACCACCGATTCTACAATAGAAGTGTTTCTCACACAAAACCTGCAGCATGAGCTGTGATAAAAGACAACGTTACCGACGATCAGCGCCCTTGAGAGCCCCACGGGAGCAGGGCTGGGTGTCACAAGCTCCCCGTGGACAGAGCGCTGCGTTTCCCGCAGGGCCTGGCGGCAGTTCGGTTCTGCAGGGGCGCGCTGCCCCCTGGCGCTACGAGTCTGGAAGGGGCTGGCTATGCGTGCCGCTTCTCGTCTTCAGCTGCGACTGGGCGATATCTGCCAGGGCGCTCTGTATCTTTTCCAGCAGCATATCCCCACGATAAACCACCTCTTCCAGACGGGCAGCTGCTTCATGATTTTCTTCTTCTAATCGATACAGACTAGCAGCCTTTAAAATAAAAGGGAGAAAAGTAAGGATCTTCAAATATAACACAAAATTGACTTTGCTACTAAGGGATGGTGGTGGAACAGTCACTGCTCCCTAGAGAAGAGAAAGATTCTCTCTTTAGCCCCTGAATTACATACTAGCAACGTCAAAGCAACTCGTTATAGGTTGCAGTCTAAACCAGTGCATATCCACATGGAGTAAACACAAAACCCCCACCAAACAGAGATGTTAGCTTCTTTCACATTACGACTCTTGTCTCAGTGCAGCTTTTCTTGATGAGAAGTGAGTATTTATCCCCCTCCCCACTCCCTTACTGAAAGGTGCTGTCGTGGTTTAACTTCAGTCAGCAACCGAGTACCACTCAGCCATTCGCTCCCTCCTCTCCCCCACCCCCCCAGTGGGATGGGGGAGAGAACTGGAAGAGTAGAAGTGAGAAAAACTCGTGGGTTGAGATAAAAACAGTTTCATAATGGAAATAAAATAATAATAAATGATATAATAATAATAATACACAAAGCAAGTGATGCACAGTACAATTGCTCACCACCCGCTGACCGATGCCCAGCCAGTCCCCGAGCAGCGGCCCCCCCAGCCAGCTTTCCCCCAGCTTATGTACTGAGCATGACGTCACATGGTATGGAATGTCCCTTTGGCCAGTTTGGCTGTGCCCCCTCCCAGCTTCTTGTGCCCCTCCAGCCTTCTCAGTCGGTAGAGCATGGGAAGCTGAAAAGTCCTTGGCTAGTGTAAGCACTGCTTAGCAACAGCTAAAACATCGGTGTGTTATCAACATTGTTCTCATCCTAAATCCAAAACACAGCACTGTACCAGCTACTAGGAAGGAAATTAACTTTATCCCTGCCGAAACCAGGACAGGTGCTCAGCAAGATGTAAACACAACTTACTTAAACCTTTCCATTAAATAGCATATTTCAGATGAAACTGTATTATTTAGCCTTTTTTCTTCAATATTTTGTTTCAGAACCAAACTGCTTTTCAGTCAGACAAAATTTAGTGAAATAAAACATTTTAACTTCAAAATATTTTAATACTTTAAAATATTTACCAAATTTAAAACTACTCAAACTTGTTCAGACTGGGTAACAGAAAAGACAAAACAATATAGTTTCAAATTTATATTTTTTAAAGCAGTTGAACAGGTCCTTAAGAAGTCATGCTTAAACTAACTGGCAAATTCTATCCACATACTCACCTTCCGTTCTGCAACACTGATGTCTTTAGTGAAGGTTAATATATGCATGAAGGACTTGACAGCCCTTGGAGGAAGGGTCAGAGAAGGAACAATGGCAAAAGTTTGACATTTAGAATCCAGCTCAATTACTTCAGTCTCAGCTGTTAAATAGTTGACTGCAGGTAAGCCACAGATTTGAGCAGAATATGTACTGCTAACTTCACCACAAGGGAACTCAAAAGGAACAGGTAAATTGTGTTGGGCATTAGTGTAGCAGCCCCTTTTATCATTTAAGACAAGCCTCAGATTTGAAACATATACCAAGACAACCTTAGGAGTAAAAATAAATAAATAAATAAATAGATCAGCCTAAGTGCATCTCTATTAGCCCAGTATCTACCTACCACTTCTCAACAAAACCTATACTGCGTATTTTAGAGTGTTTCAAGCACCTTCAAAACAGTTTTTTTAAAAAATGTCAGAATCTTTAATACTGCACCAAATTAAACAACAGAAAATAAAAATCAAAACTAAAATCAGTAAGTGATGGAATCCAAGCTAACTTATTTCAAAACTACACCAAACAAAAAAGATCAGAAATTCTTGTGAAACAAGATTCTGCATTAACAGAGCAAGAAACTGTTCGAGTGTCACCTCGAAGGAAAGCATGCCCCTACTGGACGACCAACTCCTCTTTCTGGAGCGCCCCGCTTTCCCTGCATCAGCTGTCACTATTAGCAGACCCTGCTCAGTCATGGAAGAAGCCTGTAATTTGTCTGCAGCAGGAAAGCTGAGTCTTCAGCTACTAAATACGCAGTTACATGAAATTATGCTGGTGTTAACGGGCCCAATTAGTATGTTCAGCAATTATTGTGACTAGCAACGTTTCCAAATTTAACCTCCTCTGTTTAAAACCAAATGTGATGTCACTGTCAAGACATTTTTATTTGGCCCAGCAGGCACCTCTAGTATTAGTCTTTTGTAAAATGCCTTTGAATAGTTACAGATTATCAACCCAGGTGTAAAACCTTCAGGTGATCTTAAAGCAGTTCTAGGATTCTCAGAGAAACAGCACTCTTTGCATCCTTGTTGCATTCTAAAAAGAAAATACTTGATGTAAATCTAGCAGTTAAAGTCAAAATGAAAAAAAAAAAAGAAAATACTGTTTAATAGGCAAGATCTGTAGAAATAACAGCAAAAAAAATCAAACCCCAACACAGCAATGTTCTTTGAATTGTGGGTCCAAGGCATTTTTTGGAAGTGAGAAACAGCTGAGTATTATGAAAGGATTCACAGGGTGTTTGCAGCAGTTCAGCGCCTGTAAGGCAGGGAATGGAGGTTGTGATACTGGGTGCACCTGCTAATAGCTGCCTGGCCAGTAGCTGCTTTCTGTTCCCAAGCTCTTCCAGAGTACCTCTGGTCTAAAGAGAGAAGGAGCGAGAAACAAAAGCACCGAGTTTGGCTGGTCCGAAGAAGGATACCCTATTACTGAAAAGTGAAAGAACTGTTTTGTGACAGAGCTGGAGAACTTAAAGGATACCCTGCAAATCCTTTAACAACCAGAAACATTGTGGAAGAACAAAAGGCTTCAGTAAAGTGTTGGCTCTGCAGCTACAAAATGAAACGCGCTCCTAATGAACGAGACAATGTGAACGATTATCCAAGGGAAAAAAAAACCAAACAACAAAAACTCCACAATGCATCTGCTGTATTAATATTTGAACAGTTGGGGGAAAAAAAAGGGGTAGTAGTTTCCAGTATTGTGGTGTTATGATAAAAGCACTTTTTTTTTTTAAACATTCTAACAGAAAACTAAGTTTAAAATATTCTCACCGTGTATAATCTTACTTAGAACTAGATGCAAGTTCAGTATTTCCACCAAGCCTATAAAGTACTCACAGGCTACCCTCATGAAAGATTCAGGCTTATACTAAAATAATTTTTCAAGATTACACGGCCTAGAGAGTAAAAAATATGTCTTAAAAAAGGAAGAAGTTTGCCTTCAGTTATGTTTTGATATTTCGATTAAGAACACTCTTACCTGCAAAGCTGCTGTCGATTCTTCACTAGGCAGGGAATCTATCAGAACATCGATATCTTTCGCAGTTCGTGCAATCAATGCTGCGAACAGTTGGGCGTACTCTTTAAAAAAGAAAAGTCAGCCCACTCAGTACATTATTAGAGAGAAGCACAATTCTGCATACGCAGCACAGAAAGTTCTACAGACTTGAAGTACGCAGGTGTTAAAAATTCTCCTACATGAAGAAAACAACAGTATCACAACTGATGGGAACTCAACCACGTTAGAAGATGAAGGTAGTTTGATTCTAATCCCAGATTAAACAAGGTAACTGGTTATACATAGGGCTGGGCTTTGTACAAGTGAGAAAATAGCTAGAACTCACATCGCAGTTAGCCAGTTAAGAAATTACTAATACCAGCGTTAAGTGTCCTAGTCACTACATTAAGTATTGAGAAGTAGCTAGAAACTCATTTAACTTTTCAATCCTTGCCTTGAAATCTGCCACTAGACAAAAAAAAGAACACTAAAAATGATGTAAAGATAGTGATTCAAACAGATGGATTATTTAAATCATGTTAAGCAACAGATCATTAGTGAAAGAATTTGAGGGTTTTTAACAAAAAAAAAAAAATTTCTATTCAGCCACAGAAAAAGTTAAATTGCCCCTGAGAAAGGGAAAAGGATTGGAAGTTTATAACAGACCTTGATTTAGCTGCTGTATCATCGAAAGAACTGCATGGACTTTTAATAAGAGGCACCATAAGCCAGAAACAAAACCTTTCCATATGGAATTGCATCCATTCAATTTGAATTAAGTACATTACTACCACTAAAATATTGAAACAGCCCTTTTCAATTTATAATTTAAGATCTTACGTATTTGTTTATGTTGCTTGGTTCATGAACACTTTGCATAAGCAAGAAAGAAAATACTTTCTAAGGGCAAAAATCTGTAGAAGAGATTGACCTTCTCAAAGGCACACTTGACTTTAACTTAAAAAAGACAAACAACAAAACCAACATATTCATTTAAAGCTTACTCAGGGTCACCATAGGGTTTACCTGTAAAGGGTTTTAAGGCCTTCTTATTAAGACTTTAAATATCTAAAGAGACGTAACTGGTAGTTTTGTTTTGCCTCATCAGCATCGCTAACATGGCTGTATGATTTTACTGAAGTCACTGTATCCAGGATTTTAGGAAAAGACAACTCAAAAGAGAAGTCAGTCATGACCTACCATTTTAAGACCTTAACAAAGCCTCTAGCTCCTGGCACCACACTGATGCTGGCACCTGGGACAGCAGCAGGTAAGATAAGGAGACAAACAAGCCTTTCAGCCGGCCCTTCCAACTAATTCCAGTATCAGAGAGCAAACCACCATAGACCAGTGAAGAACTACTATTCAACTGTCCTAGAAAGCGCATTGCTGCTCTCCAAACCAGTCTCCCCTGATATCCTAATAGACAAACCTAACCTGATACAAGCTATATGTCAAATTTTCTCAGGGGGGAGGGAGCGGGGGAAGAGGAAAAAAAGAAAAGAAGAAAGAAGATTCAGGATTAGAATAACATCACTATTTAAATACTAGCTTGAAATTCTCAAATCAGAGAGAACTTTTAGTTTGCTTGCTAATTTCAGTGTCTTAGATCAGTTTCTTGTCTCTCAAAAAACCCACCAAAAAACCAAGACAGCCAACAACAAAACCACAAATGGCAATGAGGAGATTCAGCATGACGTTATTCCTTCATTAACCACATAAGCAGATGATACGTGGAGAAACACAAATAATTAAAAGTTTACGACATGGAGAAATCATACATGATTTAATAAAACTAACTCTTTCTAAAAAGACTTAGTGGAAGTAATGGACAACTCACTAACAACCTTTTGCAGCAGTCCTGTTAAAATGGTCTATATCTGTAGAGCTACCGTACCTGTGCAAAGAAACCAGTGTTAAGTAATACATGGTAATGCTTACTTAACACTTAAAATTACATTTCCGCTATCACAATCTCATGGAACAAGTGCAGATGACATCAACTTGTGACTTAACTGTTTGTTCAGCATGCAATAGCGTACAGGTTTTGTACTATAGAGCGTACTATATCAGAACACGTTCGCATTCTGCTAGGAGATGCAGAAAGGAAGACTTGCCTTCCGTCGGATTAGCAGGCTGGTCTTTGTTTATCGCTGTCTGAATGTTGCTGAAAGAGGCTGGGGGGCCGCACTGCTGCAACACTCCAATGGCATTACAGAACTGGTCTGCGAGCTGCAAGCAGTAAAGAGATCGTTAATTTATTTCACCGCTAAAACTATTTCAACTTTATTCCGCACCCCAGGGGACCCCACATAGAAGCCCACCCGCGCCCCGGCGCTAGGTGGGAGCACACCCCCGCAGCCCTTAACGGCCAGCGGCGACGCCCCCCTGCCGGGGGGCTG